AAGAAAGAAAGAAAGAAAGAAAGAAAGAAAGAAAGAAAGAAAGAAAGGAAAGAAAGGAAAGAAAGAAAAAAAAGAAAGAAAGAAAAAAGAATAAATCTTTTTAAAAAGGAAGAAAATATTAGAAGTTAAAGCATAGTTTTATTTTCTTATTGGCTTGAAGAAAAACTTTAAAATTATACACTATCCTGTTTGTCTTTTATTTTTAAGAGAGTATTCTCTGTCTTCCAGAACATAAACACTTACTTTCTCTTTGCTTTTCCTAAACCACTGCTTCCTGCTTCTTCAGGAACCTTGTTCTCTTTTTCAGAATCTTTAGGGGACAGCCTGAAGAATTCTCCAATGCCCTTTTGCCACTTGGGAGTTGGGCGCACACAAACTGGATTCCCTCCTGCATACTTATGTTCAGCTGTAAAATAGAAACAGAACTAAATAAAAACAAATATAATTGCCATTCTTTTTTTCTCTTTCCCTCTCAAGATAGGGTTTCTTTTTTTCTTCCTTTTAAAAGTTTTGTATATTTTTATTTTATGTGTTTTGCATGCATATATGTCTGTATGTAAGGATGCCAGATTCCCTGGAATTGGAGTTACAGACAGTTGTACGCTGCCTTGTGGCTGCTGGGAATTGAACCTTGGTCTTATAGAAGAGCATCCAGTGCTCTTAACTACAGAGCCATCTCTCCAGCCCCAGAGTTTCTGTGTGTAGCCATGGCTGTCCTCAAACAGATCTGCCTGTCTGTCTCCTGAGTGCTGGGATTAAAGGTGGTGCCACTACTGCCTGACTTTGCCATTCTTTACTATCAGATTTTCAGAAGTATTTTGTGACATTACATCTATCTTAAATTAGAAAATGAAGGCTGGAGAGAGGCTCAGTGGTAAAGAACACTTGTTCTTTCAGAATACTAGAGTTTGGGCTGGAGAAAAGGCTCAGCAGCTAAAAATACTTATTTTTCTTGCACATGACCCAGTTTCCATTACCAATGGTGGCTCAAAACCTTCCATATCCATATCTCCGATTCCAGGAGATCTGACTCCTCCTTCTGGCCTCTGTGGGCAACATGGTGCACAGACATATATGTAAGCACAACACTCATATACACATAAAATAAATCTTGACCAAACAAGACTAGCATTTGATTCTTAACACTCATATCAGGTGCTTCACAACTGCTTGTAACTCCAGCTCCATGGAATCTGATGCCATCTTCTGGCTTTTACAGGCACCCGAACACAGAGATCACACACACACACACACTCTCTCTCTCTCTCTCTCTCTCTCTATATATATATATATATATATAATATGTAATATGTCATATAATATAATGTTACACAATATATTACACAATACTGTTATGTTATACAGCATATTCAATTATGTTACATGTTATGTAACATAAACTCATATATAAAATAATATGTATTATAATTATACATAATACATAAGTTATGTTATATACGTATATATGTTAATAAAACAGGCTGGTGAGATGACCTGAATTCAATCTCAGTACACATAAAGGTGGAAGTAGAAAACAAGCTCCCAAAAGTTGTCTTCTGACCTTCATATTTGTTCCATAACACATCTACCTAACACAGCAACAGTAATAAATTTGTTTTGATTATTTGTTTGTTTTGAGACAGAGTTTCTCTATAACCTTGGCTGTCCTGAACTTGCTTTGTAGACCTGGCTGGTCTCAAACTCACAACAGTCTGCCTGCCTCTGCCTCCTGAGTACTGGGATTAAAGGCATGTGTCACTGTGCCCAGCTCAGTAATAAATTTCTAAATTTCTAAAATGTATTCTTCTTTAATGTAGGATAAACTGTCCAAATTTTATTTAGTAAGGTTATTTATTTATTTATGAGGATTTGTTTGTGTGGATATGGTACCACAGTTTGAACCCAGAGCCTCACATGTGCTAGGCAAGTGCTCTACCATTGAGGGTTCATTCCTAGCACAGTTAAATTGTTTAGTTAAAAGTGCTCACACAATGTGAGCAAGGCTAGTGGCAGAAGCCTGTAATCTCAGCTAATCGGGAGGCTAAAGCAGAAGGATCCAAAGTTCAAAACTTGCATGTAGTACCAAGTGAGCACAAAGCCAACCCAGGCAAATTATTGCAACCCAAGTCTGTGAGGCAATGTGAACTTTTCTGTAAGAGTAAATTCCACTTTTCAAAGTAGCTGGTTCCTCTTCATAAGGAAAATCCCATTTCTGCTCATCTTTTAACAGTAATGTAAAAGAAAAACTCAGGAAAAATTGCTTTTTTAAAAAAATAATTATAGGGGGCTGGAGAGATGGCTCAGTGGTTAAGAGCACTGGCTGCTCTTCCAGAGGTCCTGAGCTCAATTCTCAGCAACCACATGGTGGCTCCCAAACATCTATAATGAGATCTGGTGCCCTCTTCTGGTGTGCTATATACATAATAAATAAATACATCTTTAAAAAAATAATTAGAGGAGAATGGTGACTCTTGCCTATAATCCTAGCATTGATTGGTATCTTAGAGACAGGAAGAGCAGAAGTTGAAGGCCAGCATTAGCCATTTAACAAGTTTGAGACTAGCCTGAATTACATGAGGCATTTTCTCAAAAAGGGAGATGGGACCAGGAGGAGAGGGGGCTTCAGTTGGGATGTAAATAAAGTGAATAAAGAAATAATAATACTAGTAAAAAGTGGGGCTGGAGAGAGCTCTGATCAGAGCTCTTGTTGATGTGGTTCAGTGCCTAGCGCCTACGTGGTGGCTCACAACCACGGAGAAGCATTGGAACACATACACTCATGCAAGCAAACGTTCATATAAAATAAATGAACCGAAAAGCAAAAGCTGTCCATCATTTCATCAAAGAAAACTTGCTAAGCAAGTCCGATAGTGTTGAACCATACTCCCAGCCTCACAAATGTTTTCAGAACTAGAAATATGCCGCAGTAATTTTGATTTTGTTTTTTCGCAGTATTCGGGATTAAAACTAGGATCTTATGCATGCTAGGCAAACAGGCTACCTCTGAGCTAAATTCCTGCCCTTTAAGATAGGGTTTCCCTGTGTTAGCCAGACTGGTCTGGAAAATCAGGACATCCTCCTGCCTCTGACTCCCAGGTGGCTGGGACTGTAAGTTTATCCTAGCTTCGATGCAATGACTTAAACCCTTAAATTATGCAATTTTAAAATGAGGCTAATGGGCCATTGAGATAGCTCAGTGGGTAAAGGCACTTGCACAGCTGAGTCTGATCCTCTAGACCACCAAGTTGAAAAGAACTGATTTCTACAAATTGTATCTGACTTCTACATGTACAAACCCATGCATATATGAACACAGGCAATAAATATACATGTAATAAAAATAATTTAGAATGAGAATACTACAATTTCATATAGTTGTTTTGCATTTAAAATACAAATCTGTGGCCGGGTGGTGGTGGTACATGTTTTAATCCCAGCACTCAGGAGTCAGAGGCAGGCAGATCTCAGAGTTTGAGGCCAGTCTGGTCTACAGAGTAAGTTCCAGGACAGCCAGGGCTACACAGAGAAACTGTCTCAAAAAAACAACCAACCAACAACCAATCTATGAACATTCTTATTTTATTGGCAGAAAGAGGGTGATTCAGTATTTCATATAGCCCAGACTGATTTCACATTCACTGTGTAACCTTGAATTCCTGATTCTCCTGCCTCTACGTCTCAAGTGCCAGGACTACAAGCATGTGCCGGTACACCAAGTTGCTTCATGTTTTGTTGATTGTTTTTGTGAGACAGCATATTGCTAGTAGCCCCTGGGAACACCTGGTACTCATTTGGTAGCCCAGGCTGTCTTTGAACACACAGTAGTCCTCCTGCCTCAGCCTCCAGAGCACTTAGGACCATTTTTCTCTTTCCCAGGCTGTTTAACACATATTAAGGACCTATTCAATTAGTTCTAGTGATTCAGTAGTAAGCCAGACAATGGTATGGAGCCTTGATGGAATTTATTCTAGGTGTTCAAAATATAAGACATTCTGAATAAATTATCTACTTTGAAAAATTTTATCTACTATCCTCTTTCTTTGAAGAGGTGGAAATAGTAAATATTTTCTAATGAAATTTGGTGAAAATTTAGGGCTGAGTATGATGTATTTCATGCCTGTAATCCTAAGTATTCCAGCAACTGAGGCAGGAGCATTTGATGTCAGCCTGGGCAATATAGCAAGGATCCCATCACAAAAAAAGTTAAAGTTGGGTGTGGTAGTGCATACTTGTAATCCCAGCAATCAGGAGAGAGGGGGAGAAGAGGGGCACGGCAAGTTGTGGATATGGCTCAGTTCCCTAGCATGCGTAGTGCCTGGCTTAGATCCCCAGCACAGAATAAACCTGGCATCCATGGCACATGCATGCAATCCCCAGCACTGGGGAGGCAGAGGCAGAAGGATCAGAAAGTAAAGGGCAGAAAGATCTGAAGTTCAAAGTTACTCTCTATACATAGAAATCTTGAGGCTAGCCTTGACTATATGAATAAGGAAAGAAGAGAGAAACAGGAGGGAAGGAGGAAGAAAGAAATGAAGGAAGAAAGGAATGTCAGGAAGGGAAGGGGGAACAGAGGGGAAAGGAGGAAGAAGCAGAAACAAAAGTAAAAAGATACTTGTGCTGGGACAGTGTGGTTGAAGATGTAGCTCTGTACTTGCTCAACATGGGCAAGGCCCAGGATTCAGTTCTGTAAGATTGCATGCATGGCTGGACACATACACCCATACAAAATTATCACCCTAAATCTAACGAGAAGGCACTTAAATAGCCTCCAAGAAAATAGTAAGTGTTAATATTAAGAAAAATTTAAAAGCACCATTTAACAAAGAAAAACAGGTTTAAAGATAAACTGTCCCTCATGGCCAAGAGTTGAGAGTTTTCCATGAGACCCTCACAACCCTATCCAAGCCTGCTGAAAGACCAAGGGCCCCTTAAAGACTAAGGAAGAAATTTTAGGCGTGAGGATGTCAAGGAAAACAAATTCCGGAGGAAGAAAACTAAATAAAAATAAATCCACCGCAAGTCAGGACCTCACAGGTCAGGACTGCTGCCCAGGCTGATCCTTTCAGCGTTGTTTCTCTTACTTTAGAAGCTTCTAGAACCCTTCCTACCTTTTCTTGACGAACACGAGGACGAATTGGTGACAAAGGTGGAAGAGCCAAGCACCTTCCTGGGGGCTCGAGAAGCCACCACTGCAAAGAGAGGTAAGGGGAGGGCGATCAGAAGAGGTGGGAGAATTCCGACCCCAGCTCTGTTCTGCCACAGTCCCAGCCTAGCGGAGAGTAGGGACGTGCACAGCCCCAGAACGACCTTGCCTGGCCTCTGCAAGCTTCCTCGAGGGGAGGGCCGGGAGCTTGTCTCTTAGCTGAGCTCAACGGGGAGCAGCTATGGGTGTCTCCATCCCAGGGACAGGCTCCCGCTACCAAGCGGCATCCCTTCACCTTTTCTGTAGGCTCCCGGGACGTAGTTTGCCTTGGTCCGCACCATGCTCACAGCGGAAGAGACAATGCTCACGGACTCCCCTGCTGCAGATGTTTCAACTGGACAAGGATCCGAAAATGACGTTCCCGCCACAGTTTAAATGGGTCTCTTTCCCGCGCGCTCCAAGCTCTTGAGAACCGGGGTTCTTATTGGTTCCGCGCCTTCACCCTGAGCCAATTGGCAGCGTCCAGCGGGTGACAGCGGGAGACTTCAGGCATTGCTGGCCAGTCCATCAGGCCCAGCGGTAACCACTCCTGGAGGGCGGGCGGTGCCAGGACACTCCAAGGTGGCGCCAAGTGTGGCCGCTGAGGTAGGTTGTGAACTAGCCAAGTGGATCCGCTTATAAAATAAAACCTAGTAAAGACTGAAATTGCAGTATTTCATAAAAATTTACCACAGAGTTAAATCCATGATGATTAAACCCTGAATGTGAAAATTAAAATGAAGTGGACCTTTCCATGAGAATCAAAACTAAAGTTTAATATCTAAGGGTGAACTCTGTTGTGATCTAAAACAGCCTTCCAAGGTGGAGAAGGAAAAGCGCAACTTAGTTTACAGTGTTTTAAAAACTGTTTTCAGGTCGCATAAGACTAAGAAATTGGACAGATTGTCCATACACACATAGAAATAAATAGAGACAAACAAACAAACATGGCCACAGAGCTAAAAACCTGCCAAAATAAAAAGGCCACAGCTCCAACCTACATGTGGATAATACTACAATAAAAAGATCATAAATATTTTCTGATCTCTTCAATTTACAATATTCCTAAGAAATTGTGTTCTAAATGCCATCCGTGGAACTAGAGCATATGCACTTGCTGCAGGATGCTTTCCATTAATGTTTATTTGAAAAACAACCCTTCGAAGTGTCCAGTGAATTATGCTTAAACAACAAAACCTACTCAGGGCCTTAACCAAATCAACAATTCACTGTGTTACACAGTTTAAGGGTAAACTGAGCACCTTTTAATCTCAACTCTGAGGAGGAAGAGATTCATAGATGGTGTGTTCCCTGCTGATCTGGGCTAGATCACAAGACTTAAAAAAAAAAAGAAAGAAAGAAAAAGAAAAGAAAAGAAGCAGGGCGGCGGGGGGGGGGGGGGGGGGAGAGGCAGGGGGGAGAAAAGGAAAAAAAGACCCAAAATTAGGAGCTGGAGAGATGGCTCAGAGGTTAAGGGGACCTAAAGTACACAGGTTAAATTCCTAGCACCCACATGGCAGCTCACAAATATCTGTAACTCCAGGTATCTGATGCCCTCACACAGACACACATGCAGGCAAAATGCCAATCAATGCACATGAAATAAAAGTAAATAAATCATTAAGGGGGAAAAAACAGCTGGGCGGTGACATACACCTTTAATCCCAGGACTCAGGAGGCAGAGGTGGGCCTCCTGTGTGTTTAAGGCCAGCCTGGTCTACAGAGTGAGTTCCAGGAAGACAAGGACTACACAGAGAAACCCTGTCTTAAAAAAAACAAAAGAAAGAAAGAAAGAAAGAGAAAGAAAGAAAGAAAGAAAGAAAGAAAGAAAGAAGACGTGAAAATAATGAAAGGGTTTAGACAGTCATTGAATTAACATTATAATGTTAGCAATTGCCTGCAGTTTATCTTAACCCTGGAGTGTTAAATTACAGCCAAATTCCCACCAGAAAAATAAAGAAGCCAATCAACATTCACTCTTTGTTGTCATTTACCCTCATAAAAATGCACATTGGTACTTAAATAACATTTTTTTTCTTTTGAGTTAAAGGCCTTTGGAGCCAGAAGCAATGGCACACCCCTGTAATCCCAAAACTCCAGGAGGCAGAGGCAGGCAGGTGAGTTGGAGGCCAGCCTGGTCTACAAAGCAAGTCCAGGACAGCCAAGGCTAAGCAGAGAAACCCTGTCCTGAAAAAAAAAAAAAAAAAAAGTCATCTACTCCAGGTCTGAATTGCCTAGTTGAACTCACATTCCAGAGTTCTGCAAAGAAAGGACCCAGAGAATATATATTTTCTTTTGCATTTCAAGCAAATGGCTAGAGAGAATTTCAAATATACAAATACACTTTTTCACAAAGTTATAATATACATATTATTATAATTGTCTTTTTTTGTTGTTTGATTTTTTTTTGGGGGGGGGGGATGTTGAAACAGGGTTTCTTTGTGTAGCCTGGCTGTCATAGAACTTGCTCTGTATTCCAATCTGGCCTCAAATGCAGAGATCTGCCTCTGCCTCCCTAGTGCTGGGATTAAAGGTGTGCACCACACAGTCCTGCTTTTGTCTGTTAACACTATTGATGTCAATGAGGAATGCAAGTTAGAAAACACACACACACACAAAAGGGTGATACTGACCAGAAGTTTTTAATTAAAATGGCTACTTTGGGCTGGGGATGTGACACACGTGGTAGATAGCACTTGCCTAGCAAGCGCAAAAGTCTTAGTTTGCTTCCCAGCACCACATAAAGATAGGTATGATGGTGCATGAATGTAATCAAAGCACATGGCAAGTAGAGGCAGGACAATCAGAAGTTCAGTACCATCCTCAGCTGTATGATGAGTTTATGGCCAACCTGGGGTATGTAAACTCTGTCTAGAAGGAGGGGAGGAGGAAGATGATGATTGGGACCAAGGCAGAGGCAGGAGTGTCTCTCAGAGCTGAGGCCAGCCTGGTCTTCAAATGGAGTTCCAGGATAGCCAGGACTGCAGAAAGACCCTGTCTCAAAAACCAAACCAAGGGGCTGGAGAGATGACACAGAGGAGCATTCACATGGTGGCTTACAACCATCTATAATGAGATCTGATGTCCTCTTCTTTCTTGCAGGCATAAACTCAGGTGAAATACTATATAAATAATAAATAAATCTTAAAACAAAAAAAAAACCCCAAAAAGATTGCTTTAGAGAAGTCCTTCTCTATAATTAAATAAAACACAGAGAATTATGTGATTTAAACATGAAAATCTTGAAGACCTGAAGGCTAACACATTAAGAAAACTTGTAGGGACAGCAAGATGGCTCAGCAGGTAAGCACACTTGTCACCAAATCCGATGACTTGAGTTCCAGTCCCAGAACCCACATGGTAGACGGAAAGAACTGACTTGTGCATATGTCTTTCTCTGACCCTGTACAAGTGTCAAAGCATTGAAAAACACCCACCCACATACAAAATACATGTGTTAAAGAAAAAGTTATAAAAATTTTAAAGAAAAGTAGTATGCATGTATTAAAGGAATTTTTGCCTAAATTTATACCTTGCTACAGGGGTATGACTCAAGGCCTTTCATATTTTAAATACAGTCTCTACTACTGAGCTACTAAGTTATGGTAATGAATAAACATAGAAAAGGTTAGATTATTTTAATATATTAGAATTAATAGATTATATTATTATGAAAAGATAAAATTCATTCTCACCATTAATGAACAGTACTGCATTTTGCTTTTTTAAAAAAGGGAGCTGGGCACAGTGGTATATACTTGTAATCTCAGCACTGGGGTGGGTGTGGGGAAGGCAGGTGGATTTCTGAGCTTGAGGCCAGCCTGATCTACAAATCAAATCCAGGACAGCCAGGCTACACAGAGAAACCCTGTCTCAAAAAAACCAACCAACCAAACAAGCAAAAAGCTGATGGCCGGTAAATTGGCTCAGAAGGTGAAGGTTCTTGCTGGCGAACTTGACCACCTGAGTTTGATTCCTGGGACCCAAGTGGTAGAAGGCAAGAACTCATTCCCGTGAGCTGTCCTCTGACCGCCATATGTGCACTGTGCATTTGCGGTAGCCGACAGACATGCACATGCACAAACACAAACAGGTAATGTGTTTTTAAGACACGGTCTCACTAGTAGCCTTGGCTGGCCTGGAATTTACTGCATAAACCAGCCTGGCCATGAGCAAAGGTCCTCCCACCTTTCCCTCCTAGAGTTCTGGGGTTAAAAGCATATGCTACCATGCCCAGCTAATGTCATTTATTTTTCCTAGATTTAAATCTTTTATTTTATATTTTACTATTTTTTATTTTATGTTTTATTATGTGTAAGTGCCTATGTATGTGCACCACATGCATGCCTGGTGCCTGTGAAGGCCAAAAGATATCGTAGGAGGGCCTAGCACTGGAGCACCAGGTGGTCGTAAGCCTTTAGGTGGTGTAGCCGCGGGATTCTAGTCTCAATTACAGACAGCACTAAAAATAAGCGCCACCATCATCAGAGCAAAAACTAGTACAGTGCCTACAAAAGCTTGCACGCGCTGGAGGTTTTGTTTTCCTTTGTTTGACTGGGAATTGAACCTGAGAATCTTGCATACTGAGAAGGTAGGGTACTGGGCTTTGTGCCTTGTCTCTCTCCACTCCACCTCCTTTTTATTGTGAGACAGAGCCTAAGTTACAAAGACTGGCTTTGAATTTACTTCACACCACAAGAAGGTTTTGGATTTGCTATCTTCCCGACAAGAGAGGTTTTAAATCTTGTCAGAATCAGACAAGATTTGAAGGCTGTACCCATCTTTCGGGGTCCTGCTTTCTTTTATTCCTACTACAGCTCTTTTGTAGGTGCGTAAATTGTCTTAGCACAATTGCCGATGGCCTTCCTGGAATTCCCCCTCAGCGGCAAAGACCCTCCAGAGCTCGTTTCTCCCACACACGTGTAAACAGACCCGGAAGTTGAGAGAAGCCGGAGGCCGCCCAAGTGGGAGGATCTGCCAGGAAGGGGGCGCGACCGAGCGGGGCGGTGGAAGCTTGTGGAACCCTCGTCAACGAGGTCGGCGTTGCGAAGGGAACGAGTCCCGCGCAGGACGGGAGGCGTTTGCAGCTCAGCTGGTTCCGGTTGGGGAAGATGGCGGTGGCTGGGGCGGCGTACCGGGAGCTGCTAGTACAATGGTGCACCCAGCAGTTGCGGAAAACTTTCGCCCTGGATGTCAGCGAGGAGATCATACAGTAAGATGGGTTCCGGGTCCTAGTGGGAAGCAGCTTTGTTATGATGTGCCCCGGTATGGCGAACGGGAAAGCCGGGGGATTAAAAAGTTGAGAGGAAAAGAAATACCGTCAAAGGAGCTGCCGTTGGTCTTTAGAGTTTGAATTTTGGCTTCCACTTTTTCAGTTTAGCCTCTAGATAAGTATGCCAGAGTCCACGCAGTTTCCTAGGAAAGTGGCAACACCATAGTATTTAGATTTGTAAGATTGTTCCGGAAATCGGTTTGCTTACAAACTGTGGAGAGAATGAACAGGTCAGATTGGCTTTCTAGAAATTCCTTACTCTGAATCAAGCAGGATCCAGAATTTACACGAGGGCGACATGGTACATTACAAATAATCCCTGATTTCAGAGTCACAGCTTCAGTCTTCTGTTGCCATTAGCCAGTTTGGGAACCTTCGGCAAATTAATTTCTCTTTGTACCCTCCCCTTTATTTAGAATATTAATAATTACTAGAGCTTTCCTTTAGAGTTTTACAATCCTTACAAAACAGATGGCGATTATTGACGAATTCTGCGATGGGAGTTAATTGAAGGTTTTCTGGGAGCATAGAATACACTTTTCAGTATGGAATAAACTTTTCAATAAAGGATATCCATTATGACTTGAGACTCTTAAAATTACTGGAAAAGATCCTTTCACCTGAGAACTAAAGCATAGGCAGAAGCTCAGGTTCAGAGTACTCAGGTGGAGGGGAAGATTACAAAAAGAGACTGGATTAAAACAAACAAACAAACAAAAAAACAGAATAAAAATAAAAATTTTTCTTAATTTGATTCTTTGTTGCCGGAAACAAAATTGCTAATTCTAGAATTATAAGAAATAAGGCCAGTTTGCTGAGTTTGGGAGAAAATTTTGAAGAAGCGCTGACATTAGACCCAAAATGTCTTGCATATTACGCAAGTTCATGATGACCAAGCTACCCACAACCCTGATGAATACTGTTTAGTACTTCATCCTTGTTATGATTTCTGAAAACCATACACTATGCTATTCTTGTTTCCACAATTTATATCTTTACCTCCTGAGGTATGTTTTGTCAATTGAGAGTGCTGAAGAGATACGAGAATATGTGACAGACCTCCTTCAGGGAAATGAGGGCAAAAAAGGTCAATTCATTGAAGATCTTATAACCAAGTGGCAAAAGAATGGTCAAGAGTTGATTTCTGATTCTTTTCAGCAGTGCTGGAAAAAAGATGGTAAGTTAAAGTGGTAGGTAATAATTGAAGTTTTACTGGTAAATGCTTGGCTTTAAAAGCCTCGGTGTTGTCTTCCACTATGTATTACTGGTTCACAGCTAACTTAAACAGAACCTATGTGTGCATATTTTCAGCTTAGGTCTATTCAATTAGTAATGAATATTGCTCTAAGCCCTTGGTTTTCAACCTTCCTAATTCTTTAATACAGTTCCTCATGTTGTGGTGACCCCCAACCATGAAATTATTTCATTGCTACTTCATAACTGTCATTTGCTACTGTTATGAATTATAATGTAAATATCTGATATGCAGGATTATCTGATATGCAACCCCTAAAGGGGTTACAACCTACAAGTTGAGAACCACAGCTCTAACCTGTCAAGCTTTTCTGCCTGCCACTGCCTCACAAGTACTGGGATTAAAGCCATGTTCCACCATACTGGGTACCAGCCATCATTTTTAAATTTACAGAAAAATCACAAAAGAATCTTTTTTCAGGCACAGCTGTGGCTTTAGAATAATTTTAAGTGGATTAAACTTACAAGTGGATTAAATAAATACTTCTCAAGGACTGTGTCCTAACTCAGTGGAAAGACACTTGCTTATCATTTGTGAGAGCCTATGTTCAATCCCCAACACTACAAATTTATTTTTATAAATATATTTTAAAATATTTTTTCTTCCTAATTTTTTTTTTTTTATGTGTACGGATCTTTTGCCTGCATGTGTGGCTGTGCCTCGTGCATGCTGGTGCCCTTACAGGACAGAGGAGGGAATTGGGTTCCCTGGAACTGGAGATTCAGATGGTGTGAGCTGCCATGTGTGTACACTGAGAATTGAGCCATGGTGTAGCCAGTGCTTTTAACTGCTGACCCGTCTCTCCAACCTTTGGTTTTGTTTGTTTGTTTTTCTTTTTCCAAGGCAGGGTTTTTCTTTATAGCCCTGGCTGTTCTGGAACTCACTTTGTAAACCAGGCTGGCCTCAAATTCAGAGATCTGCTTGTCTCTCTCTGTAAGCGCTGAGTTCAAAATTCTGTGCCACTGTGTCCCACTCCAGCCCTATTTTTATAAATATTTTTTTAATGATGTGTATACCTGAATGAAAGTATAGACTGATTATAGTATTAATGATATTTAGAGGTATCCATTTATATAGTACAAAAGATGAACATCAAACTAAATAATATGCTATTATTATACAGTGTAAAATATCAGTCTTGAATTTACGTTATTAAGTTGCGCTCAATATTTCAGTTTTTCTTTCTCTAGTACTTGGATTCAGGCCAGAGATGCTTGGATGCTAGGCAAGTGTAATGACAACTTTGGAATTTCAGATTCTTTAAAAACATGAAAATATTATAAGGATGTGTTACCATTTTAGTCCCAGGTGTGGGGTGTGAGAGTGCTTCAGACTTCAGCAGCTGACCATCGCTTGCCCCGTGCGCTAGCCCAAGTGTGATTTTGTCAGCTGCAGATAGCTTCTACGATCGTGTGAAGTTTGGAATTCTGGGAAATGTTAGAGCCCTGAGAGGCAGGGTGGGTGGTGGGTGGGTGGTTGTTGGTCGTTCAGGAAGGTTGGATGCAGTTTGTCAGTAGTTGTATTCAAAGAGGAAACAAAAGGAAAAGAATTAGATTCAGAGATCTCTATCTCTCACTCTCCCCTTATCCTTCTTTCTCTCCTATCTTGTGATAGGGAGTGAACCTGGGGCAGGGAGGGGGATGGGAAAAAGAAGACCCCACAAAGTAGCAGAGACCAGCTACTGCCAAGCATTTTTCATCACCAATCCTGTTTGGGATTATTTATCATTGATTACAGACATTAAAAATGGTGGTTCGATTTTGAATTGAGAGTAGTTCTGCCTGACTTCTTGTCTTGACTATAAATATTAAGAACTACCTTCAGGTTTTAGCTATAGACACTAAATAACAAATCTTGCCATTCTTTTTCTGTATCTGTGTGTATTTTCTTTTATTCTTTAAAGAAATTTTAGATGGACAGAGATCAGTGGACCAGCTAAAGCGGAGTAGGAGGAAAGGAAGAAACAAACAGGAAGTTCCTGCATTTCCTGAACCTGACATGACTGTAGAGGTCAAAACACCTTTAGATTTGGCCAAGGTAAATGCTTACAAAATTTAAGCTTTTCCTGACTGTGTGGAGAAGAAGAAATGACTAATATCAGAGACAAAATACGGAAATTAGTCTTCAATGTCACATTTAACAAATGGATGAATATTAGGGACAGAAGCTGGCATCTTTCTCTGTGGTATGAGACCTTTTCTTCCTTCTGAGATAAGGCACCATGCAGCTCAGGCTGAAATCTAATTTGCCGTTAGCCTTGAACTCCTGGTCTTCCTACCTCTACCTTCCAAGCCCTGAGATTGTGTGCCACCACTCTTCTGCGGGACTTACTTCATTCTCAGGATCAGACTAGGACCTTGTGCATGCATATGAGACAAGCACTCCTCCCCTGACCTACACGCCTGTTCCTGGATGGAGAATAATTAAAGAAGCGCCCTACTTTCAACTTCAGCATTTGAAAGGGCAGTAAAAACTGAATGACTAGATAGTTCTTGGTGTCATTAATAACTGCCAGGCCAGTTATTAATAACTTCCCGCCAGGGAAGATGCCATGATTATGAAAGTAGTTTGCCCTGGACAAGGCTTGTCCATTGCACTCTGATGTGCTGACCCTTGTGCTTTTCCCAAATGTGGGAAATAGGACTGCATAAATTTGTAGTAGTGGGGGATTGCATTTACACTCTGCCCTACATCCGTACAAAGATGCATGCGTGCACATACAGACATACACACAAACTGCCAGACACTTGCAAGAAGATAGGGAGCTCCAGGCCAACCTGGAGTTCAGACTGCTAGCAAATTCTAGGCTACACTGAGACTTTTATCCGAAAAATCAATACAAAGGTAGATGAATAGTATTCTTGTTTTGAAAGTTTTCTCTTCTACCGTAATTATCAATATTCCGACTTCAAAACTTATTTTTAACCAGGCATGCATAGAATTCTCGGAGTATCCCAAGCTGTCTTTCAGCTGAAAGTCTTTCTGCCTCAACCTCCTGAAGCTTAGACTGTAGCCACTACATCTGGATAACTGAAACATTTATAGTCAGCATGACTTGACAAACTTCTGAAAAGGAGAAAATTAATTAATCTAAGATGGAATATGACAATTTTGAGAGGATACTATGCAAAAACATGGGTGGGAGATGGACATGGTTGGCCTTAAGCATGTAATCCCAGTACTCAGGAGTCTGACGCAGAAGGAATGCCTCAAGTTCAAGGCTACCTGGTCTTCATGATTAATTCCAGGCCAGCTAGGGCTACAGAAGAAGATTTTGTCTTAGAAAACTAAAAAGTAAAAACTAAAGCAAAAACAGGAGAGCAGAATTTACAAAGATTATCACAAGTAATAAAGAACATATAACCAGGGAGTATATGAAGGTGTTCAGGCTCACTAGGAACTGGAGATGGCCTATTTTTCATAGTCTTCCTCTCAGTTTTAACACCAAGTCTCACACCATGCCCCTGCCCCAAGGCACGAACAAACCAAAATGTCTGTTCTGATCAGATAAATACACATTAAATCACTGACATATTTCCTATTAGATTTTCAATGTTTTATCAGTTGTCAATAAAGAAAAAGTGTTTAGTAGCATGAATCAAGAACTGTGGAAATGTTTCTATACTCTTTAGTTTGGGCCTCATCTCTACAGCCTTGTGTATGCTAGGGAAGTACTTTACCCCTGAATGACACCCAAACACTCTTGTATTGTATTGTTTTGTTTTTTTCCTTCAGTTTGTTTGTTTCTTTGGTTTTTTGAGACAGGGACTCTCTGTGTAGCCCTTGCTGTCCTGGAACTCACTTTGTAGACCAGGCTGGCCTCTAACTCACAGAGATCTGCCTGCTTCTGACTCCCAAGTACTGGGATTAAAGGAGTGCACCACTATGCCTGGCCCTTTTTCAGTTTATTTTTATTTTATGTGCGCTGGTGTTTTGCCTGAATATATATCTGTGGGGTGTCGGGTCCCTGGAACTGGAGTTACAGGCGATTGTGAGCTCCCCACTGTGAGTGCTAGGGACTAAACCTTGGGTCCTCTGGACGAGTGGGCAGTGCTTTTAACCTCTTACCCATCTCTCCAGCCCATGTTGTATTGTTTTAATGGCTAAAAATGTTGTGCACTTTTTCTTATTTTTGTTGCTCATTTGAGTATGTGTTACTATGAAATTCCTCATGATCGTTTTTTATGTTTTTTTCTTGTGTCTCTTTTTTTCCCTTAGTAATAGGGATTGAGTGTAGGCCTGCATACATGCTAACCACATGCTGTGCCACCAGCTACACTCTGGCTTCTTTCTTATTAGTTTCTGAATGAATAAATTTATCAATTTTGCTGGACAGTGGTGGTGCACGCCTTTAATTCCAGAATTTGGGAGGCAGAAGCTGGATCTCTGGATTCAAGGCTAGCATGATCTACAGAGTGAGTTCTAGGACAGCCAGAACTAAAACAGAGAAACCCTGCCTTGTAATTCCAAAAATAAAATAAGTTTTAAAAATTTTATTGATTGCCTATGTTTTGAGATCTATGGCTGTTACCCCTTTTAGGGGTATTTAAAAAATTCTTTGTTTTATTTATTTACTCTGAGTGTGTGCATGGTAACACAAACATGCATGCAATTTGTGGGAGTTGGTTCTCTAGTTTTATGTTGTGATCCTTGATATCAAACTGAAGTCATTTAAGCTTGGCAAGGATCTTCATCTAACTAGTCCCTAACGTCATTCTTTAGCTGTGGTTTAAGATACCAGGGGTTGGGATTATAGCTCAGTAGCAGAGCACATACCTAGTGTACGTAAGACACTGGTTCAATAGCCAGCACCACTGAAAGATAAATAAATGAATAAATAAAGGAAAAATAAAAAATAGGACTGGGGTGTAGTTCATGTAGTTGGTAGAGTGCTTGTCTGGCATGCATGAACCCCCTGGGTTCCATCCCTGCACTGCTTACTAACAGTGTGCTCCTATATGCCTGTCGTCCCAGCGCCCAGGAGGAACTGGGAGGAAGATCAATATTATCTTCTAGCTTGAGCATAATAGTTATAGGCCAGATGCTACTCAACACAAAAACAAACAAACAAACAAAAAACCCCACCCGCTACATTTGAATAATAAAACACCTACATGTGCAATCTTAAATATCTCAGGGGACAGCAGTACAGCTCACTGGATAGAAGTGCTTGCCACCAAGGCTGAGGTTAGTCCTCTGAACCCGCATGGGGGAAGGAGAGAACTAACTTCTGCAAGTTGTTCCCTGACCTCCATGTGCACACCATGGTGCACGCACACTCATACATGTTGTTACATATAAGAATTTATTTTAAAAACGTCTCAAGCTGCTTTGGTTGCTGTATTTGCCTGGCCATATTAGGTGTTTAACAAATAAAGCAATTGCTAGGAAAACAATTACCTTGCTATTATCAGGACCCTAATTATAAATAATCTGTATTTTTCCTCCTTTCCTGATTCTTGAATAAGGTGTAAGTAGTTACTGCACAGAAGTGAGGCTTTTCCTCCCGATTCTTTTCATTGTAATTGATCAGTGTTCCTGTGATGTCTTTGTATCATTAGGCACAAGAAAGCAACAACTCAGTAAAGAAAAAGACAAAATTTGTCAGTTTATATACAAGAGAGGGACAGGACAAACTTGCAGTCCTGCTTCCTGGTCGTCACCCATGTGATTGCCTGGGCCAGAAGCACAAGCTCATCAATAACTGCCTGGTCTGTGGGCGGATTGTCTGTGAGCAGGAGGGTTCAGGCCCCTGCTTATTCTGTGGCTCTTTGGTAAGGTCCTTCATGTTTTGTTTTCACTATGTTCGATTTTTCTGTCAACTTGAGTTATCTGAGAAGAGGGAACCTCACTTGGGAAAATGGTTCCTAAGATTGTCCTGTAGGTAATCCTGTCGGACAGTTTCTTAATTCTTGATTAATGTAGGAAGGCCCTGCAATTGTGTGTGGTGCCACTCCTAGGAAGGTGGTCCTAGAAAACAGGCTAAGACGTAGTGTGTATCTATAATCCCAGCACTTGGGAGGCAAAGGTAGAAGAATCTGATTTTAAGGCCAGCCTGGTTTACATAGTGAATTCCAGGCCAGCCAAAGTTACAGAATGAGGCATTATCATTAAAACAAACAAAATGCAGAAGGAGCAAGTCAGTACGGAGCATTCCTTGTATCACTTAACAGTCCCCTCCTCAGGTTCCTGCCTTAACTTCCCTTAGTCATGAACTATTACCTGGAAGTACAGAATGATATAAATAAATCCTTTATGGAGCTAAAGAGATGGCTTGGTGGTTAAGAGCAGTGGCTACTTTTGCAGAGGAGCTGGGTTTGATTTCCAGCAGCTACATTGTGGCTCATAGCTGCTTATAACTCTAGTTCCAGTGGATCTGATGCCTTCTGACCTCTACAAGACCAGGCATACACATGGTGAACATATAGACATGCAGGCAAGCATTCAAACATTCATACCATAGAAATAAGTAAGGACATATATGAAAAAATAAACCCTTTCTTCCTGCCAAACTGCGTTTGGTCATAGAGTTTTATCACAGCAGTAGAAGCCCTAACTAAGAAACTGTGTTTTGAGTTAATAACCATGGCTATTCAAATCTTATGCAGTTTTCCTTAGGAAACTGCTTCTCTACAATGTTTAATGAAATTCCAGTGCTCTGGGGACCTAGGAAGAAAAGTGAGTTTTTAAGGCACACTCTCACTATGAAGGTAGGCTTGCCTCAAGCTCCCAGACTCAATGTCGTTGAACTTCCTATCTAAACCAGGCTAGCCTCAAGTTCCCAGGTATTGAAGTATTGAGATTACAGGTGTGTGCCATCATACTTGCCTTCTGGTTGGTTCTTATTTTATGTGCATATATGTTTTGCCTACATGTATATCTGTGGATCACATTTGTACCTGGTCCCCTTAGAGGCCAGAAGAGGGAAATTGATCCCTAGAACTGAAGTTACATATGATTGTGAGCTGCCGTGTGGGTTCTGGTGATTAAACCCAGGTTCTCTGGAAGAGCAGCCAGTGCTCCTAAACACTGAGCCATCTCTCCAGCCTCAAGCTTTTTGGTTCTTTCTAATAAAACATTTCCTTATAATTTCTTTTTTCATTCTTTCCTTCCTTCCTTCCTTCCTTCCTTCCTTCCTTCCTTCCTTCCTTCCCTCCCTCCTTTCTTCTTTCCTTCCTTTCTTTTTTGGTTGTTTCAAGACAGGGTTTCTCTGTGTAACAAAGTCCTGGATAGCCTTGAATTTACAGAGTTCCTCCTGCCTCTGCCTCATGAGTCTCGTAACTAGAGGAGTGTGCCATCATGCCCAGCATCTTTATAATTTCTGTTATCAAAGATAGAGTTTACAACCAAAGGCTTTGAAAAGTGTCATGATTTTTTTCAGTATTCTCAACAGAAGTAAGTATTTGTCTTTTGAAACTAGGTATATCTATATTTACATGTATGTATGTATATTATTTTACATAAATATATATGTTAAATCACAGAGTTATTCATATTTATAGGAATGAAATTCTTTTTGTTTTTGTTTTTTGAGACAAGGTTTTTCTTAGTAATCTTGGGTGTCTTGGAACTGACTCTGTAGATCAGGTTGAGACTGCACTTAATACTTTGCCAAGCAAGCAATATCATTCAACCTCTGAATGGCAAGTCTGTTTCCTTTATAGGTATGTACTAATGAAGAACAGGACATCTTACAGCGTGACTCAAACAAAAGCCAGAAACTGTTAAAGAAACTCATGTCAGGTAAACCCTAGATTCTTGATTTTTTTCCATTCTTTGAGACAGGGCCTCACTGTGTATCCCAAGTGCCAAGATTAAAGGTGTGCATCATTGTCTGGCTAAGATGCAGTTTTTTTTTTTTTTTTTTTTCTTTTTTTTTTTTTTTTTCAGATTTATTTATTTATTTATTTATGTGTTTATTTATTTGGGGTCACTTATTCAACAATTTTTTTTTTTTTTTTGATGCTGCTGGTCAAATGTGGGCCCTCACGCATCCAAAGCTATAGTCCCTCTCATGTAGCTCAGGCTACTCTTAAATTTGCTGTGTAGATGAGGAGAGCTTTGAGCTTTGACTCCTCTGTCTTTATTTCCAAAGTATTGGAATTAAAGGCATGCATCAGATCTGCCTAAAACCATTTTTAAGAGGTAGAATAGTGTGCTTATTAATTTCTAACAAAATAATATATATACATATATTTATTTTTATTTTATTTTTTGGTTTTTCGAGACAGGCTTTCTCTGTGTAGCCTTTGCTGTCCTGGCCTTGTTTTGTAGACCTGGCTGTCCCTGAACTTAGAGAGATCGGCTGCCTCTGCCACTGAAGTGCTGGGATTATAGGTGTGCACCACTGCACTGGGCATCAAAACAATATTTTGCTTCTACCTTAGTTCATAGTTTTCATTTAATTTCATTTTATTTTATTTTTCACTATTTTACATTTTATTTTTAGTCAGAATTAATGTTTTTTTAATTTTAAATATTTTTAAAAGTTTTTTTTGTCAGTTTTCATATTATTTAAAAATATATGTTCTTTTATAAAGTAGCAATTGGAAAAAAAATGTTATGCTTTTCCGTTATTTTCAACTAATTTTCTTTAATTGACTTAGCTTTCAGTGCTGAGATTTGAACCCAGGGTAGTGTAGACACTAGGGAAGCAGATTAAGCTTAACCTCCACTTTTTGAAAATTTTGGTTTGAGTCACACGAAGATGCTAGGCTGATTGACTTGCAGCACAGCTTGACTTATTTTTTTGGGACTATTATCCAAGCTGACCTGGAGTCCTTGTAACCTCCCATGAAGGTGAGTATATCATGTGAGGCCATATTTTTTCTTTTCTTTTCTTTTTTTTTTTTTTGAAACAGGATTTCTCTGTGTAGCCTTGGCTGTCCTGGACTTGCTTTGTAGACCAGGCTGGCCGCGAACTCAACAGTGATGCATCTGCCTGCCTCTGCCTCTCTGAGTGCTGAGATTAAAGGTGGGCACTACCTTTTAATATATGAATGAATCAGTAAATTTATTTTCATCTTTGAATTTTAGTTTCCTTATCTGTAAACAAGGATGGTAGAAACTGTTTATATTGGTTATATAACAAATAAATGTTCCTTTGTGTCTTATCATTTATTCCAGTTTTGCATCTTTTCTGAAATCTTTCTTCCATTAATTAGTTTATGGTTTTGATATGTAAAAGTATATTTATAGGTGATAGCTTTTGTTAGTAAGGTGTTTCATGTATTTTGATCTTTTGGAGCTTTGTGACAGTTAAACACAGAGCTCTATAGGCATGCACTGCACTACTGAGACACATTTGGTATCCGTAATCTGTAGAGGTCTAGCTTTTTTTCCTTTTTTTTTTTTTTTTTTTTTTTTTTTTTTTTGTAACTCTGGCTGTCCTGGAACTCATTCTATAGACCAGGCTGGCCTCAAACTCACAGATGCACCTGCCCCTGCCTCCAGAGTACTGGAATGAAAGTTGTGCGCCAACTCTGCCTTGGTAGTTTTTTTGTTTTGTTTTGTTTTTTGAGAGACTGTTAGTGTCAAACACTGGATGTTAGTTGAGCCTGACCTTAAAAGTTTCCGTTTAAATGAATACTGCAGATCATCAGGGTAGAATCAGGTCTGCAAATATATTGTTCATTGCTGCACAACAATACAATAAATTTTATTCTTTGGGCTGATACTGTTTGATTTCTTTATTGAATTACAGGGGCAGAGAATTCTGGAAAGGTGGATGTCTCTACGAGGGACCTTCTTCCTCATCAAGAATCTCGGATGAAGTCTGGTTTGGAGAAGGCTATCAAGCATAAAGAAAAACTGTTAGAGTTTGACAGAACTAGGTATGGTAGGGTGAGACTAACCTTCACTGAGACAAACTTATCCATAGATTCTGGCCATTAAAACATTATTTGGGGGTTCTAGAGAGTTGGTGCAGAGATTAAGAGTACTTGTTGCTCTTGCAGAGACCCAAGTTTGATTTCTCCCGCCTGTGTGGCAGCTCATAACCATATGCAGCTCCCGTTCCAGAGGAATGCGCTGTGCTGACCTTGACAGGCCAGAGCCGCTCGCTCACATAGAGTGTACACATGTACCTGGAGGCAAAACACACATAAAATCATGTATTATTTGATACTTGCTACCTTCTTACGGTAGACTGTGAAAGGGTTGATAACAAAGAACTGGCTGCTCTGTAATTTTTTTTTTTAATTGCATCTTGGCTTTATTTTTTGTTTTTGTTTGATAAGATTTCACTGTGTGGCCTTAGATGGGCTGGAACTTAATATATAGACCATCCTGAATCAGACTTGCAGAGATCTGCCTGCTTCTGCCTCCTAAATGCTAGGATTAAAAGCATGGATCACCATACCTGGCTCTTCTAATGTTTTTTTAAAAAAACATTCTGCAAAAAGGGCTTATAGATCACATTTATTTAATAACATTATCTAGGTGGTGAATAAACATTTTGAAGACTATTTTCAAGTCAAAGAGCAGCTCTGTTAAGTAAGCCACTTTATACTGCAGAACAGTATAAATATTACACAGAGAACATACAGATATTTGTGCTAAAGACAGAATGGAAGAAAGTTTAAATTAAGCAAAAACCAAACCTGGCATAGTAGCACACACCTCTAATCACAGCACTTGGGAGGCAGACGCAGGAAGATCTCTGTGAGTTCATAACCATCCTGGTCCACAAAGTGAATTTCAGGACAGCCAGGACTACATAGTGAGATCCTATCTCAAGGGGAAAAAAAAAATCAAAACCTTTAGGCATTAAGTGTTTTAAAATTTCTAGTTAACAGAGGCTTCATTTTTATAAGGAATACTGTCTCCATATTAGACTTTATAAAAAATAAAATTCTGGTAGACTTGAGCTACATACTTTCTACTAAATCCAGAGTCCTGAAGTGTAGTAAGCAAATCTGTGAATAATGACAATTTCTTTTTTTTTTTTTTTTCCCATTGCTGAGGACCGAACCCAGGGCCTTGCACTTGCTAGGCAAGCTCCCTACCACTGAACTAAATCCCCAACCCCAACAATTTCTTAAGTTAATACATCTCTCCAGGTGCCGACTATTACACAAACCCCAGTGAACCAAGATCCTGTAATAGGGAAGGCACTGAAACACTCAAGGTGAAAATTGGCCTTGAAGACATGTTCATAAATTAGGCAAATGTTTTTTTAAATAGATTTATTTACTTATTATGTGTACAGTATTCTGCCTGCATGTATGCCTGCAGGCCAGAAGAGGGCACTAGATCTCATTATAGATGTTTGTGGGCCATCATGTGGTTGCTGGGAATTGAACTCAGGACCTTTGGAAGAGCAGCCAGTGCTCTTAACCTCTGATTCATCTCTCCAGCCCATTTTCAGCAAATATTTATTGAAACGTGTATTTTAAGCTTGAGGAAGAGTCTGATAGACAGAGCCCTTGAGCCTCAAAGAGCTCACTCTCTAGAGCAGAACTGCCTAGCACTCACACAGTCGCCGTCAGCCTTAACTCCATTCTGCAAGAGGTGCGGAGACACTGCTTTCCTCTATGAGGGCAAACACAAGCTACTCAGACTTTATTATTGGGGGGAGAGGAGTGAAGGTGGGCCCACATCAGACTATCTATGTCAAGGCCCCTACCAAATATTTTAATACAAAATCTTTGTACCCTGAATATGAATGTGATTTAAATGCTTTCCTTATGCTTATGTGTTTCACTAATTTGTAATTATGGAGAAACACAGTCTTCTAACAGTAGTATAATCAATTTGTGAGTCCCGGGTTTATTTTTTGTAGAATGACAGGGTTAAATTCTCAGAAATGTTTTCTAGCCTTCAATTTTCTTGTCATCTGATCTTAGAAGTTAGCAGGGTGTGTTAATAAAGAACTGGAGTGGGCTGGAGAGATGGCTCAGAGGTTAAGAGCACTGGTTGCTCTTCCAGAGGTCCTGAGTTCAATTCCTGGCAACCACACGATGGCTCACAACCATCTACAATGAGATTTGGCACCCTCTTCTGGCCTGCACGCATACATTCAGGCAGAATACTGTATACATAATAAATAAATCTTAAAAAAAAAAAAAGAACTGGATAGTGAGGAGGGAGGATGTAGAAAGCATTACAGTAATAGATGAATAAAACATCCACCTGGCCCTCACTGGCTGCAGCACTTGGGAAAGTGCCACATACTCCACTTGAGCTGCTTGGTAGAGCTGGTTCTGGTAGCATGTGTTCAAGTGAGCTGGCCCTGGGGGTGTAAAATGGGGAGAGGTGACCCTGCCCTTCGCCTGGACAAAGCACAGGCATAGGAAAACTACACCTCAGCTACTGCCCAGGCCCAGATCCAGAGCTTTGAGTTAGCCTCCCCCAAAACCTACCTCATTTATGAGCAGCTGGAGTGTGTGTGAAGGGGCTGGTTCTACAGAACCAGTGACTCACTGCAATAAACATTTGCAAGTAAAGCTGTTTGGGCAAAATAGTATACTGTGTGACACACCACAGCTTCCATGGTGAAAAGGTTTTTTTTTTTTTTTTATTTATCTATGTTAAGTTTTATTTTTTGTTTTCTTTCAGGAGGGAGGGTACAAGGGCAGAGGGCAGATGTGGAGGGACAGGCAGAGGAGTTGGATTGGGGTGCATAATGTAAAATTCATAAAGAGTAAATTAAAAGTTAAACAAGAACTCCAGCTGGGTGGTGGTAGTATATGCCTTTAATTCTAGTACTTGAGAGGCAGAGGCAGATTTCTGTGAGTTTGAGGCCAGGGTGGTCTATAGAGTGCGTTCTGGGACAGCCAGCACTATTACACAGAGAAACCCTGGCTTGACAAACCAAACAGCAAAAAGAAAAAAAAAAAATCCTAATGAGAATAATTCATTCACAGGACTGAGATTTCAGGCAAACACCAGCAGACCAATGCTCTGTCAGTAATAAACCAGTGAATTTTAAGAGCAGGATATTAAGTTACTGGAATAACAGCTGGGATATGACAAAACTAGGTTATGTCCCAGTTTTCAGGTGTAAGCTGTGATCCACAGCCTAGAGGGTGGACGGAAGGTAAATGAAGGTGGATGGAAGGTAAATGAAAGGTTGGATTTGTCAGAAAAGGAAGACAGTGGATTTTGGTGCTGTCTTTCACTGCCTGAGGCTGAGATTAGTTTTAGGAGCAGAACTGAACCTTGCAGTAAACATAAGACACACATTGCAACTTCAAGGCAGGAAGACCTTATTTAGAACATTCATTGTCTTCCATAGTTGAGACAGGAACCTTCACAACAGCAAAAGTTAAGCGGTAATTAGTCCATATTTGCCAACAAGTGACCTAGTTACTGTGTGTTCTTTTTTTCCTTTTCCCTGCTCAGTATCCGAAGGACCCAAGTCATTGACGATGAGTCAGACTATTTTGCCAGTGATTCTAACCAGTGGCTGTCCAAAGTCGAGCGGGAAACCATGCAGAAACGAGAGGAGGAGCTGAGAGAACTCCGACATGCCTCCCGACTTTCTAAGAAAGTCACCATTGACTTTGCAGGGCGGAAGATCCTAGAAGATGAAAATCCACTAGCAGAGTATCACAGCAGGTAAGTAGGAGGCCTCTGGTAGAGTCTGAGAATAGGAGCAGCCTGACTTTAAGGGCTTTCCTTCTAATGGATCTGTTTATTTAAAACACAAGGGTGACCCAGTGTGTAAAGCTTTTGCTGCACAAACCTTGGGACCCGTAGTCAGGCCCTCACCACCTGTGTGAAACCATTGTGCAAGTTCCGCATGTCTGTCGTTCCATTACTCCTATGGCAACATAGAAAACAAAGCTGAATTCCTGAAGCTCACAGGCCAGTTAGCCTGCTGTGTGCAGTGGCATCCT